ATTACGTTTTAGAAAATTTCATGAGTTTGGTAGTAGATCTACAATTCAAATCTCAAGGAATTATATAAATAGTTATTTGAAGTGTATATTGTAAGTTTGAGCTTGATCAAATGGTTGACTTAAAGGTTGTTGAATTTTAAGTAGGTTGAAGTCTCAAAAATTGGACTTTGAAGGGCAATTAGAATTTCTAAGATCTTTAGTAATCTATTAGTTGGATTAAAGTGAAATTTATGTATAAAGGTAATAGACTTAATTTTCTACACATAGGTGACATTTGAAAACAATTGAATGGTTTGAAAAGAAGATATTGGCATTAGAAATTCAACATTTAGATTGGAATAGGAGGCCAACCAACACCTGAGTAGATTTTAGAATTTTTCTTTTATTTGGTAAGTGCTATTATCTTCAAATTTTGTGCGCTTGTTGTTAACTTACTTGTTAAAAAGTATATAAAATATTAAGTAACATCAATGATTTAATCAATAGATATTGAGATTCTAAATTTTATTAGGATTAGATTGAGTTGATTAGGATTTGATTTAGGATTTAGGATTTTTTTAGGATTTAGGATTTGGCCTAAGATTTGATTAAAGACCATTAGGATTTCAACTAGAATTAAATTAGGAATTGATTTTAATTTATTTAAGATATAGTTGTGATTATTTTAATATTTCTTTGATGTATCTTGGAGATTCTTTTAAGATTTATTATAGATTTTTTTTAACTCTTTTAAGATTTCTTTTTATTTCTTTTGTGATTTCTTTAAGATTTGATTAAAGCTTGTTTAGCATTATTAAAGTTTAATTTGAGTTTATTTAGTACTCTATTAGAGTTAGGATTTTGTTATTACAATTTCTATTCTACCTTCCACATTCAGGTGCCCGATGAATTCTTAAGCAAGACTTCACGTATTACAACACTGCTCTCATTTCAACAGTATTAAGATAATAGAATACCTTAAGTTGAAAAAACAGCCTCAATATAAAAATTCTATATTAACCAATCTCTAGACTTAATAAGTTGCTTCAACTTAATTATTCTAAAAACTTGTTTAATATAATGGCTGTATATATCTTTTGATTAAACGCATGCTGAATTATAGTTGAGAACTTCAATTTTTAATACCATCTTTTACAGCCTAGCTTAATATTCTTGTCTAAGTTTTGATATAGAAAATACGGCCTATTCAATGTAAAATTAATCACAATGTAGTCCAAAGCCATAAGAAAAGAGTATCAACTTACACTCACCAAATTTGTTCCAACGTGAATAAGAGAGAGCTCCACAATACAAGCAAAATAAACCTTTTCAAGGATAGATGACTAGTTGGAATCAAAAAAATCAAGAGATGTCATTATAGTAAGAAATTAGTTCATGCATAAACCATTGTGATAAGATCACAAATCATTATAGCAAAGCTAAATAACCTCCACTATATTAAAAGATAATCAATGTTTCATTGCTCATGGCCTCATCTATGGACTAAAGCTTACGACTCTCTTCTAGTAGATACTAACAATGGGAAGGATGTCACTTCAATGCAATACAAGAAAAAGTGCTTCAAAAATCATAACTAATAAAAAAGAATGGATTGCAACACTTTGTTTTTTTTTTCTCCATTGCAGATTGACAACAGACTCAGATTGTGCATTTCATATCGATGAAGGAGCCTTAATCAGCAACCTTATACAAAAAAGTCTAATCAATTGCAATGCTTTGACAATGACCCCTTCACTATTGCTTCATACCAACTCCTTCTTTGTACTGAAGAAGAAAAAAAATGCAACACCAATCTTGATTATCCTCCAATACTACCACAATCACACCTATGAAAAAAAACATATAATGAAAAATCTTTGGCAATTAAAATCTTGAATCTTTTTTATGAAGAAAATAAAAAAAATTTAAGAAATAAGGTCCAAGGTGACGTGATTCCTAATCAACAAGGAAACTGCCGCCCTTTCTTGGCAGCATCTTGTCTTCCTTATTACCTTTTCTTTTGTGGCTTATTTTTCTTTCATTTCTATTTTTTATTTTTATCTTTTTAATTGATTTAAATCAAAGATCCTTCTTAGTTTTTAGTTTAATTAAATAATTTATAATAATAAAACTATTATTAAATATTATAATTTATATTAATTAATTTAAGGAAAAAATATTTGTTTTAAAACTTCTTTTTAGAAATTCTCCCAGAACTCTTTTTTATAATAGTCATTCTATTATTTTTCTATTTATCTCAAAATTCCTACACTAACTCACTAAAATAGTGACTTTAAGCACCATAAGTACATTTTTTGTACTAAAATATACTAATGAGTTAATTTCGTGATTTATAGGATCTCAAATATTTGAAATTTAAGATTATAAGAGGTTTTTTGCAATCCTAAAAAAAATTTCTAGTTTGATTGAAGCAAAAATTGGTAATAATTTGGATTTAAAAATCTATAGGTTGGCTAATTTATAAAGTAATTAAAAAAATTAAGAAAAACTAAATCTTTGCCAAAAGGTCAATATCCAAGTTAAAAAAAGAGATTAGCTAACATTGAAGTATTTTAAGATTTTTTTTTAAATTGATAAATCCAATTTTCTTTAAATTTTATGTACTTAATATTATCTTATAGTTTGAAGTGTGAATAAAATTTTAGTAGAAATCAATAATTTAATTAATAATTATTGAGATTTTAAAATAATTATAGAAATTAATTAAGATTTTTTTAAGATTTTTTGTATTTATTTTGAATTTGATTAAAATTTAGGATTTAGTAAAAACTTTATTAAAATTTATTAAGATTTTTTAGGATTTTTTTTAATTTATTAGGATTTATTTTAGGATTTAGGATTGATTTAGGATTTAGAATTTGGTGAAGATTTTATTAAGATTTTTTTATAATTTTTTAAGATTTATTAGGATTCAAGATTTGATTAGAATTGATTTGGGATTTAGGATTTAGGATTTTATTAGGATTTATTTAGGATTTTTATTTTTAATATTTTTAAAAATATTTTTATGATATTTCTTTGATTTTATTTATTATATACATATTTTTTTAAGGTTAATTTATGATTTCTTTATGTTTCTTAAATAATTTCTAGAAGACTTCTTTTAGATTTGATTAATAATTTATTAGAATTATTAAAAATTAATTCAATTTTATTTAAGACTCTATTAGAGTTGTTACGATCTTGTTGTTGCAAATTCCATTTTATCTTCCACAATCAGGTATTGTTGCATACTTAAGCAAACTTTACAAAATATGACAACATAGTAGTGACAATCCTATTAACAACTTAGCTTATATTTTTTTGTAGACTCTATGTTTGTGGGAGAGTTTAATAAGCTTAAAGCTAAGTAGTGTATAGACTAAATTAGAGCTTTTAAAATTGCATGTCATAGTTTTGCCTCTACAAATTTGAGTAGTGGCTGACTAATAGTATCAACAAATTAGTGCGTGATTTTCTCACATTTAAAGAAATAGAAAGTGTGGAAGGGTAATTTTCTTGATGCAGAGGAGGTATTGATGGATTTGTCAGCTAGTATTGAAAAAATTATTTGTAAATGAAGGGATGAATAAAAATAAATAAATAAATAAAATGAATAAATTAGAACAATAAGAAAGGACTTGAGAGATTGATGATTTGCATTGTGTATATATTTGGTATGATAGAGAAGAAAAGGCTTTGATGTAGACCTTGAGATCCATTGATATTGTAAAAAAAGCACCACAATTCTTGTCCATCCAAACATCTTTATATTTCAGCAATATTTGATCTCTATTTTTTGTTCATTTATCAAATGTAAAACTTACATTCCAACTATCATGTCCAATTAGTAACTCCACCTTAGACCATGCTCTAGCGAGCATCTCGAGTAGACTTATTCCTCCATGAATTATTGAGTTTCAATTTCAATATTGGCAATAATTATTGTGTATCCAAGGAAAGTGATCTTTGAAGTTATGTAAGTATAAGGAGTAGCAAGGTGCAAGTAGAATTCAGCACATAGACATTCCTATTGCAAAAGTAGAGGTTCAATATTAATCTTTGTTCTATACAAGTTTTTTTTTTTCATTAAACTTATCTTACGATACATGCATTATATTTTAATTGATGTATTGCCTTAGTCAAACTTTCTACTTCACTTGGCCAAACATATGCATACATGGAGTATAATAGATGGCACATTGTCATACAAGTTTGAAAGACAAGGAGGCAGGAGGGGAGGGGAGTTAGGGACAAGAGACAAGGAATGAAAACAAAAGACTTATCCATTATAATAATGGATGAATCAAAATAATGGCAAGTAGAGTTGATTTAATATTTTTCTATATTTATCTATATATATATATTAATTATTTATTAATATTTAAGACTTAATAAAAAATAATTTAAATTTTTAATTATATATATCTATATACATTATAATAGATACCTTTATTATTTCAAAAAATAAATATAAATCGAAGAAAATATTAATACATTAAGTAGTTAATATATTATTTAAGAAATATTAAGAATGTTTCTTAAGTACGATTTAGGTATTTAATTTTTTTTAGATATGCCATATATTGAGGATATGAATTACAAAAAAAATGTAAAAAAGCAATATGTTCTTGTACCACTTAAAGAAAGAAATTTGACAAATTTAAAATAGATATAAGATAGAAATTAAAATGGCTATTGCCATTTACAAAGAAACTAGAGAATAATAAACTAATACCAAAATACATGAAAGGTATTAAAAAAAAATCACCTACAATTTGATGTTTTTAACTTTTTTAAAGTCACAAATTTATCATCAAAAAATTTTGGAAATAGAAAAACAAAGTTTTAATAGTGAATTACATTATTCGTAAATAGAGTTTTTCAACTGTCACTCACCAGGTGACATATGTGACATAATATGCTTGGACAATTATTAGAATACGGCATAGCTCCCTCGTGCTCAACTAGGACTGCCAACCATGATGTACTTTGGAACACAATTTAACGTACCACATCAATAAACGTGAAAAAAATGTAAATATATAAATATATGTATCTGAAGCACTTGAATGACGTGCAACTGGCTTCCACCACTGCTTCTAACAACACGTGCAGTCTAAAGATTCCAGGTGCTCAAGCCCAGAGCAGATTTTCAGGAAGGAATCAAATATGATCAATCGAGGATTTTGGTCCGAAATGATGCCCTCGTGTCGCATTCTGTTGGACAACCGCATCGAAGCACCAAAGGCAATATATTAAAGAGAAGGGGATTAAAGCAAAACCAGGATGTGGTTTCACATGAGCAGTGTCGTTCCGTGCAAAAACAGAGCAACGTGGACAACTAGCTTCGTTGCATAGACGATCAGTTTCGAAACCAGTGTTTCGAGTTTGAGCTATAAAGTTTCGGCTCTGGCCTTGTGAATGGTGCCAGTAGCATGACCTGGTCTTTGAAATGATCAAACTGATGCAACCCAATTTCTGTGATACATGCACACCCCAACCGCGACTTATCCCGATCAATCGTGGAATGTGAGGCATTCTGGAAGCAGCCCATGATCAAGCCGAGGTTCGTGCCTAGATCGGTGTACAATCGAGATTTACTGCAGTGCGACCATCTTGGATGGATCAAACTCTGGGGCCTAAATGGGAACCTGTCGGAATGCATGATCGGGGATGATCCAACTGCTCCCACGTTACTTACAATACATGTTGATGGTTTCTCACGGTTCTTCTATATCATCTAAGGAAGTCTTCTGCCACAACATTGCATAGATTCAAGGGGAAAATCAGTACGGCTTGGATTGGAACTTCACAGTGTGGCCTGCAGCATGTATCATAGCATGCTTAAGCAAGCTCTGCACATCGGTGAAAGATACATCATCGTGGCTTAATTCTCCTGATCGATACTAAAAAGACAGTCGGTGGGGTAATGCTACACTCAACGTGGGAAGAATCCTTCGTGGGATTGCTATCTTAGACGCGTTTGAAATTTGCTTGCAGAGCTTCAATCAGAACACTAGCGGCTGTTCGCACCTCGTGAAGTCGCCACGTAATTGAGTCCACGTAAGGCTGCAGGTTCAGAACTATTTTATCAATAAGAATCCACATGACGAATTGACGATCCGAAAAAAATTATCTACGGTGGTCTAGATCAGCACGAGCGATTAGCACTAAACTAGGGATAATGCTGCGACAAAAATATTAGAGCATGAAAGTTAACTTACCTTGGCAACGATGAAGCACTCCACGAACTCAAATGGTAGTCTTAGTATGCTACAGCGAACGACATCTAGCTTCAGGGATTCCATCGATTGAAAAAGGCGAATCTGCAAGTTGAATGGATACCGATGCAAAAAAATCTCCACTAAAATTTCCTCCTCAGAAACCTGAGCATGGATGCGGAGGTTCTCGGGGCTGATGATGTCCCTACTGGCCGCTGTGTTGTGATGAACAGAAGTCGGTACGATCAGGTTCTGCGGATTTCCCGTCATCCACGCAGTGTTGATAGGCTTCCCTCGATCTACAATCGGAGGTATTTGCTTCAACAGGTCGCCTCCTTTGTAGATGATATGCTTAGGTTGATTCGATTGAATTGCGTCAAACTTCTTGTCACCAGCTTTGCGAGGGACTGGACATGTTTTACTCTGTCTTCGATATCGTGGCGCTTCCGAGCTTTGAATAAGCAACTCCAGCTTCAAATTTGAGCGGCGCTTCAAAAGCTCCTCTTTACGAAGTTGCAACATCTTCACCAGCTTTATTGCGTCCTCTACAACCACAGCTTTTTCGCGCTGTAGAAAAAAATGATCGGAGATCAGTGCGCCTGATCTAGTTTAACAAGCTAGATCTCCCGTGGAAATGCCCTGATATAGTATGTTCCATGCATACATATAATGTGAAAGAAACAAAACTCCTGGGTCTGAAGAGGCTCAAAAATGGTTTTCATCTGTGGAGATTTAGTGACTAGGCAACAAGCGGACTATCAACTCATCCAACAGTACAAAATTCGAAAGAAAGCTTGTTTCAGTACACTCAGTGAGGGTTTTAGGGATGCAGAATTCATCGCCACAACAATCTGCACAGTACAATGTTATAACGTTTCTAAGTGGCCTGTGCTCACAAAAGCCATTGCCGCAGGATTTGTGCATACTCCTTGCACTCATGATACATCTCCCAGCAAGAAAAAGATTCTCATTGAAGAGAGGCATTTCAAATCTGCTAGCAGAGAAGAATTACAGGCAGCAGAGGTGAAGAACTAGTATGTGCCACGGAGCACTTACTTTGATTCCAGCAGGCAATATTGACTCCAGCACCTGGAACTTCGAAGCCATGTCTAAGCGTCGCTTTCGCTCTCTAAGAATGTGCTCCTCAGGGGTTGGTATCCGGCTCCCTACGGATTGTTTAAAAGCCTTAAACAACTCCTTTGTTTTCGGCGCAATCTGGGATTGGCTTGCTGGGTTCAGTTTCTTGCGTTTCGAAGGTGAGGAGCTTTGTTCTGCAATGAGGGGTTGCAGTTGACGTTTCAAACCAGAATTTATGCAAATTTTTACGCTTCCTGGTGAGGAAGTCGACATGGGCGAAATTAACTCAGGGGATGGAACCACTTGATCCAGCAGTTTGTCAGTGACAGAGCTCACATCGTTCTGAATATAAGCAACCGAGACTGGTGTCTGCAAAGCCCACAGGGGACTTGAAACCGAGGGCGCATTAGCACGAGTTGAGAATACAACCGAGGAACTTGGCTCTAAATTGGAAGGGCAGGAAGCCAATGTGACGCTTTCTTTGACATCGATAATGTCATCCAAGAAGCTCGTCACACCACTTTCACTACAAGAATTGATTTCCGGGCACAGTGTTTCAAAGTACTGGTTCTGCCAGTCTCCGAAAATCTCGTCGAAGTTGGTATCCATGGCTTACGAAAGTGCAGTCAGCAGGAAGCGCGTGATAGAAAAACGAAGAAAACGTTCGCTAGACCAAAAATTAAGATCCTTCACTTGCTGACCAGAAAATACAGCACTTCGCAGATCCAGAGAATTTTAGCTGAGAAAGAGGCCAGATGACCTGTCGATCATCCTCCGACATGCCACTTCTCTAGCAAAAGTAATCATCAGCCTATACTAATATGGTCAAGCCTCCAAATCCAAACCATTGGGCTCGGCAGCTGCAAATACCGTCTGCTAGGTAAAGATGCTGTAAGCTCAAAGTAGCACTCTCAGGAGTCGCTTAGCCAATACTCAATGCAGTGCTCTACATCGACTAGAAACATCTCGTGTGGCGGTGTCTTGCAGGCAATTCAGCTTTCGCTGTAAGGCGACTGATAACCGTGCAAAGGTTCCAATCACCATGTTACATAGCCTTGAAATTTATTCATCCCTCCAGCAGCGCTTTAGGGAGAGTTATTTGCAGACCTATACAGCGAACGCTGCATCGACGCAAATATACCAGAGGATACCAATATTTATAACCAACTTTCGTCATATATGTATATCTGCTTTTGCATATTCATTTTCTTTTCATTTCCTTTTCTTTTTTGCAATCTTTTATTTTCATATATGTCCCAACCGTGCACGAACTTCTCCGTTACGATGTAAAGAGGTCATCAGCCAGGCCACACAGTTCTTACAACTGTTCAGGAACTCTAGTTTCGGCGACTCTAGTGTCGCTTCTTAGCAGCACATGAGTTTATGACAAGATTGCTAGCCGCTTTCACCCTATCGGGTTCCGAGAAGTTTGCAAGTAACTTGTAAATTATCCCTGATCTGGGCCCGTTGATGAACGCATCCCCCAAGTTACCCAGGAATTGAATTCCAACTGAAAAGTTGGACTGTCGCTGCGTAAAAGATCATCTCACTAAGACTGTTGCACTGTCCCAGTCCAGCTGATACGATGCATCCATGAGAGTCCAGACTTTCCTTTTATGTTTTGTTTCTTTTTGGTATTCTTTTTTAAATGAGGAACGTGGATCCGTTAGAAACTGATCTGGTTTTCCAAGCCCTGAACCCAGTGCTTGAGCTTCTGTCGTAGCAGATGCAGATGGCTCTGGACACTAGCCTCTTCGTCACGTTGGAAATATGCCTCAGCAAGTACAGCTCGTCCTTCCAGACAAACTGAGCGCTGGCAGCAGATTCTACAGTGCCTGGTGGTTGGGTTGTAAGATGTTGATTAGTGCCGATCTCCCGGAGCTTTAATTTTGTCTTGCCTTGTCCTTCCTTGTGGAGAAGGTCTGGATCTTCGATTCGCCGCACCGTGCTCGACAGCACCATTTCCTACAGGAGGGAAGGCCGGCTATGAATTCGTCTCGAGAAAGCGGATTCCATATCAAAAGCAGGACCATGTACTTGGAGAATCTTCCGTACTTGGTGATGATGGTCAGCTGATCTTCTCCAATAAGGGCTCCAAACCAAGACCGATAAAACTCCATATTCCAAGAGTGGTAAAATGTATCAGGCATGATAATTGTATGTTCGTAGTTTGCAGACAAGCTGCCGGAAGTAATACCCCTGTCCGTTCCAACTCTAGTGATCAATTTTAATCAGGCAATATTGGCAGTCAAGTGTGCAGTACTGATCGTACTTGAAATGATTTTATTGTCCTTAGGGTGCAGATTAAACGACGAAAACCTCCAGATTTTACTCACAGCCGGACGTCCTGCAGAATCTGCGACCGTCATGTAGCGAAGATCAAGCCAGGAATTTGGAGTCCGACGCCCCGTCGAAGCTTCTCGATAAATGAGAGCATACAGGGATGAAAAACATAACCTAGAAGATATGACTCAGGGACGTTCAACACGTCGATGAACCATGTACTGCATAAATGATAACAATAAATATTGATTCACTGAGTACGAGTCTAAGAGGTGTTTGTGGCTTAGACTCACCGAGATCGCTGTCGTAGAACGCGCCGAAAAGGATCTTAAGAAATAGCCATGTGCTACGTAAGAAAAGTTTCTCGCATCATGGGCAGGTCGAACTAAGCCGAGACTTAGGTGGCATGTGCAAATAATTGAAATTTGTTGTTCTTTTTATAATCAAAAAGTTGAGTTGACCAAATTGTATCTGGAAAAATATATCAAGTACATTTGCACGTGAACCACATTCTTGAAAACAGAGACGCTCAACAAGCACTCTTATGAGTGCAGCAATGACCTCCTCTACTGGAATAGAGCTGCAACCTTCACAGTCGATAAATTTAGATTGGGACAACTGATACGCCGTTGAAGAGTCTAGTGATTCTTCCAGCTGAAAGGTTCTTCGAAATAGACCACGATACTCCAATGCTTATCAAAAAAAAAGGGGGGGGGGGATCTCCATGGCTGACAACAGAGGAAGCGAAATTCACTACAAGAAAATCTGTAAAGTTTCACCTTTTGGCAATCGTTATACTGAAAGAGAGAAATATCCAGTTCTCAGGTTACAGTTGACTGTCTTACAGATGCGGTCTTTTTACACCGGCTGTCCCACAACTTTCACTTAGAAATTCCACCAACGTAATGACAATGCATCTAGAACAGCAGCCTCACATCTTCAATAATGAGATGTTTGTTGAACGTATAGGGCAATGATCCAAATCTCATTACCCTACATATTTCAGCATGCTTCTGATAACAAATGTAAAAATACATTCAAAATATAAAATTGATGTTAAGTATCAGTGTCGTGCAAGCAAAGTCGAGAGGGTATCTCGCATAATGAGCTCGTGTGTCCACCATACAAGCTTTATAAGTCAAATGATGTACCACTCTTTACGCTGCAGAAAAAACATCTAACAAACTAATACATTTTCAATTCTGCAGGAGCCCTAGACTCTAAGACTTATGACCCTTGTCTTACGTCGACATATTCAATCCAAACTGAATCAAAACTAGCTTACTGGATTAAAATGCTTAGCAAATGCCGGAATTCCTCACCGACCAGAAACCACCTACACTTTTGAAGACTCACTACTACATGGACCTTACCAGGCAGCTAGTTTACTGTCCAACATCCCAAAGCAACTCAAGAAAGGCTGGACGGAGCTTGTATCTGAGATCATTTATGAGTGAAGAACAGTGCTCAACAGGTTCATATCCGATATACATACACCCTTGTTAAGACCTTGGGATCACACGATAGGTTCAAATGTGGATTCTAGCATCTTCAGTTGGCAGTTGGTATCATCGCTCAAGCATGTTGCGAAGTCTTAGGAATTATTTTCCTGTAGCCAAGGTAACCCATACAAACTGCAGATATACTTCATTTTGTAGCAGTGTGATATCCAGATCCAACCACATTGCTGCATGGATTATTAACAATTATCTGAATAGCACTACCTTTTTAACGAGAAACAAGCCAAAGATTGTAAGATCCTATACAAGATTTGAAGGTACATGGTCTGGTTCTGCTGAATTTTAGAAAATACTACCAAATCAACCAATCGACCTCTGCCAAAATTACACTGCTGATGATTGTTAATGTGGAACGTAGTTGCTATCAAAGCTTCTGGAATAAAAGTTCTAAATCAATCAATAAGCAAACATATCAATCAATTTATTTTAACCAGCTGTGTTTATTGATTTAGATAAATCAATAACTAAGAGATGAAAACCCCACACTGGTATCGACCTTCTTCCTAGTCTTGCAAGTATTATGGTAGTGTACTGCAAATTACTGGCTCCTAATATCGTGACTTTGTATGCATGTGCACACACGAAAAAATGAAATCAAAATAAAAACAAGAAATAGCGCGAAGAATCGTAACTAAATTGATTCACAAAACTCAGATAAGGTAGTCTCTGAAAGGATCTTATGACATTGAAGCTCCGCAGCAGCATTACTTATTCCTAGTTTTGCATGTCCGTAACGCAGGCGCAGCTGTGTCCACTTGTCTTCTTTGGCTAGTAGTAGTTCTCGATCTGTCACAGAACAAAGGCTGCAGCAATATAGTAACAACGCAAGCGTTTTTTTCAAAAAGGAAGCCTACACACACTTAAATATTGAACAGAAAAGAATGTAATTGTGTCATGGAACCGAGGTCTTCTTAACATGTGATTTATTTCAAGAATAGAGACATCAAACCCTAATCACATCAACATCAAGAGCCCACAAAAGAAACCACGATTACTGCAACACTATTTCTGTTTTCAATAAATCCTCATGAGAGAAATGTGCAGAATTACCACTAGGAGTCTAATTCAGTGCAGAGTGAAGGTGCATCAAGAGTGGGAACACAAGATAGAAGCACCACATTGAAACCTATAATCCTAATGTCCACTATCTATCATCCTGGACCAAATGGAGTTTCCTGGTCAGAAATTGCAGTCTGAGAAAGCACAACTTTTCAACAGACTACTGCAGGTCCTCACCATTCAACGAAACTCCACAAAATTGGAGATTTCAATACTACGTGTGAGTAAGGGAAAGCCAGAAGAAATTCACACTTTCTTCATTGATATGATTGGCAGGAAAAGTAACGTCCACAAGGCAAGGCATATGTGTCAAACGAATGCAGGAGTTAGATTTGCATAATCCACGAAAATTTTACAAAGAAGTCACACACAGTAATACTGGTTTACAATTGTTATTACCGTTCCCTTATCACGGCCAGGTGGGAATATGTACACCGTTGTTGGGGTGTTTGTCTGTCAACCACTCATCATTGACAATGTCCAGAACAATGCCTGAATCAAATAGCTACGAAATTTTCCAGAGCACTACAAATCTGTTACTATGCACTAAGTGCTGTTCAACTGAAATGTAATCCATTACAGCTACAGCAGGCAGATAGTCCGTCTGCGATAGCGACTACGTTTTCCTCGATAACAACAATCACAATACAGCAGATGCTACACAAATTGAGCAATGAGAAGCAACGAGCCGCAAAAGAAACTCCATAGCGCACTACACCCCCGAAGTGAATTTGATCTTGGGAACCTCATTACAACGCAAAAAAACGCACGACGCCTCAATCTGAAGCCGCAGATCCACACGCATGAAAATTTTCGGAATACTCCAGCGGCAAATTCATATGCAAAACTGTTCCATTGCAGCACCATCCGATTCAAGACGAACAATAAGAGTTCGTCATGAAAAGAGTAGGATAAGCAATGACTTCCTGAACCTCGCTCTTAACGAATGATGTTTCCGTGATCCAAACGTCCAAAAGATTACATACCTCAATTTTTCTGAAACCTGCCCTCTGCCATGACTAGTGCAAAGAAAATTTGGATGGGGTAGGCCGAAGTCACACGGTTGTGGGTCACACAGCCATCGCCGTGAGGGTCACCTAAGCTTAACGAATTCAAGTGTGGTGTCACGGATCTTGTGTGCGCAGTCGTTGGAATTAGAATTTGGGAAACTTCTTTATTAGACCCTAATATGAGTCCAACTTCTTAAATAAACCCTCAATCAAGGTGCGCGTTGCTCTTGATGTCACGCGCTCCGTCTAAGTCGATGATTCGTACTTGTGTGACTTCCTTCTGCTTTTCCTTGCTGACCTTTGTGAAAGGTCTCAGGTCAGTGTTTTTCGGTGGATTTCGTGGCTGGGTTTGGTGTTAAGGTAGAAGATGATGGGTCCTTGGGCCTGCTTGACGTCCATTCGCAGTGGCCACGCAAAGATTCCGTCATGCCAAACCTGGAACTGATGCAGCTTTCAAACCTTTCTCGCCTTTCATATTGGTCTCGGTTGCCAATGTCGTCCTTAACGTATTACTGCATGTCATGAAATACGGATGCTCCGTGTGATCAATTCTTAACTTTTATTGTACTAATGTACCTAGGGTTTAGGGTTTCGGCGTTTCCCGTCTGTACAGTACTGTTGCTCTCTGCGTAGTTGTTGAACAGATGTACATGCGACAGCGTGAAGTTAGGAAGACTTTCCTTTATGAACCCTCTTTTTCTACAAATGTGCAAGTGTAGTGTTTTTCATACATGCTGTCATGATGATTCTTGTCATCTACGCGACGCCAGATTTATTCGTCACATTTGTGACTTATTAACGATCAGCCTTTGAGGATCGACAGTCCACAAGGAGGTACAAGCACAGAAATACATCATCTGCTGCTTATCCCCTTGCTTAACGTATAGCTTGTGATGTCTCTGATCTTGATACTTCACATGGTTTAGTGATGGAAAAATTCCTTTGTTTCTTTCCGTATTATTCACAAGTGATGCTTGATAGTTCTGTCCGCGGGCCTTGAGATACCATGCAGCTCTCAAACCCTCGTTCTGGCCACAACGTCGGTTTGAGGCTAGCGTTGGAAGAAACAACACATTATCCCTTCACATTTCATTGATTTTCAGTTCCTGAAATTTGAAGGGATAGCATGTTGCATTTCTTAGAAGGTGCTTGCTTACACTTAATACAGTTTGGTTAATCTGATTAGTTATTAATACTGACAATCCATGGAGGCTCTTTCGGCGGGTGTAAAGGCAGTGGGTTGTTCTTGAGAAGATACTCTAGTTCATGGAGTTGCAGCAATCATAAAGAGCTTTAATTGTTCAGTAACACGAAGCGTTCACAGACAGACCTTCTCGTGACCTTCCAGTTGCAGCATTACACCTCAAATCCCCATGTCTCTTCCTGTCCCTCATACAGGATTGGTGGCTTTCCCCGTCTATCACAACTTTGCATTGGCTGCAAACCTGAGAAAAATCGATAGCCCGTCAAGAAAGCATAAATGAAGAGGCAACTGTTAATAAGAGCACGTCATTATATAACGCTTCAACGTTATTGTTGCCTGTGCTTAGTGCCTACTTGAAAGCGAGATAGTTCAATTGGCTTTTAGTGTCCAGGCTCTTGAACCAGTCCAGCATCCTCGTCGCCTACCGTGCTATTTAACACATGCACAATCACATCTACAAATCTGGCAGGTTGTTGTTCTGCTACGATGCATTCATTGAATTGTAGATACATAACAGAAATAATGAACCGTGACCGCATGTCCCACACCTTCACCCGGGATGGTGCAAACTCTTCGATCCATGCCAAACAAGTCACAGAAGCTCAAAAGCATGACTCAATTAGACCCACTACATGCCCCCTCCTGCGGCAATCATGCTGCTGACACGGCACTTAAGCCATGCCTGAGGTGGCTGTCAATGAACTCTCACCCTGGGCTGTCGTTTTTGTTGGAACCATTCGAGTAAACCAAACAGATAGGCGTCAGCCTCATGTCAGAACCGCTGCACCTAATTTCGACCAAATTGCTGGAAGTTGAGAGACACAAGGTGGTATTCAGTTTGCATAAGTGCTGCTTCGAGTAGTCGATCCACTACCCGTTTGTAGGCTGGTTCCAGGAGGATTGTTAGCACCAATCCTTTCCCTAACTCCCTGCTACCCTCCCGCCGCATGATTTGATTTCTGACACTGCGTCTCCCAAACCACTCTGCACGGACAGATCCACTGGGGCCATTACCTGTAGGGCGATGATTGCACTGCTGGAGCTTGACCCTGCGGTGCGAAAATTGCCAAATTATTTCGGCACATGATTCCGGAGACGGCATCCATCAAGACGGAGACTAAATGTCCTTCGTTTTCATACACTTTCTTTTTCCACTTTCAGATCCCAGTCTGGTGCTACCACGTGGGATTCTGTGCTATACAAAATACATGAAACGAATATACCCACACACAGACCTCAGAAAATGCCTTCACCCTTCTTCCCACAAGCATCATGTGAAACAACGAGTGTGTGTGTGTGGATCCCCCCCCCCCTATAAAGACGACTTCTCCTCCTCATTCGTCCAGAATAATTCAATAATCATATTGCAGCTGGCCAGAAACCACAGTAAATAGGTCAAACTTTCACCCATCTGCTCGGGTACTATGTAAGGAGGTAGTTCGGCATTCATCACCTGAAACTCCCCACACGTACACAAATCAAAACTCTCTTTTTTTATTATAATGAGAATTATTTTGTTTTTGTTTTCCTTTATCCATCAATCAACCAGGTATATTGAACGAGGAACTTTACGGACAGGCCAGCATCGAGGAATGGCTCCGGGATTGTTCGTCAAGGAGAAAAGAAAGAGAGGGGGCTTGGGTTAGAGTGATGTCAGAGTGCCTTTGCACACCATGTCAACAGTGTATTATTGGAGGGGGAGATGTGATTCTCACTGACTGCGCCAGCTTCATCAGAACAATGCCGTGGTCCTAGCTCCGCGTGTTTCACAGAGCCCAGCACAGATAGATACGTGCCATTTTTTTATAGCCCAGTTTTGGGTTTACTGCATTATTGCATAGGGTTGTGGGAGTTGAAACAAACTGCTAGTGATTGTGGTACAATTGGCAACCACTCCCAGGAAAGCTCCAGTTTGTGGGACAATACATAATATGTATCTTTTGTGCACTAACTAACTAACTATATATAAGCAATCAATGGGTGTTGCACACGTATGGTTATCCAATCAAACACAATTTAGTCCTATTCTGCAGAAAATGTCATCCCGGTCGGAAAGGAACCAAGCAACAAAGTGTTTGCAAACTATCCAAACAGTAGGAATTAATTTCAGTGGGATATGAGGGTTTAAGTTTCGCACGTAAAGCACTGAACAACCTCTGCCCACTACACTGAAATAATACATGACTGCCCTTTCCCTCTATTAATTTTTTGCTTTGCCTTGTTCTTTGTTTTGATTTTTTCGTGTACAGTGGAGTATGTCCAAGCTTGTACTTCAACACACTGTTGGGATGGACAGTATCTACCTGGCAGCATGTACAAAGGTTGTGCAAGTTTGCCCTACATAATTCTAACACTCAGAAGAAATGAACAAACATGAACACACACACACACACACACACATATGTATATATATATATATATATATATATATATAGCTGGCACCACAAATCAGTGTAAAGCACTATCACAAAGTATTATAGACAAGCTAACAAGGTTTGTGGCCTGTCGAACTGAGACGGAGACATGGGATTTCGAAAGCCAAGAGCCAAAATGGCCCATCAAAATACCTTGAACTTGTAGTGTAAATCCTCAAGTTCCAAACTCTCTAGCTTAAGGTACACACAGTGAAAGCAGCAAGACTCCAAAGATAGTCCATTGCCAATTCTTTTGCATCCAAGCATCGGCTACACAGGCGGTTGAAGGTCAATCACTTAAGACTTCCTATGAGGGTCTTCAAAGAGTCATGTTTTTTTTTTTTTTTTTTTTTTTTTTGTATTCTCTTCTCCACTAACTTAGGTCTTCAGCCTGTGGTATGAAAAAGACCTTTCGAAATACTGAAGAAGAGAAGTACTGGAATGTGGTAATATGACGGTAGCATATTCCATTCTCTCCCCCATTTATTTTAAACCTATGATCTTCTAAATAAACAAGAGAACCCAATAAGCATTGAGATTGAGTTTTGCACCAGAATAGCTATCGTGTTAATAACGCAGATTTGAGTAGAATGTAGGCCAGTGGGTGCTCCCAAGCTTAGCAAGTGAAGGTTCTAAGGCTTGTGGTGAGTTACAACGTTCGTATTGATTCCCCAAACATGTGTTCACTTGGATCCCATAAATAGGAACGCATTCTCCCATCACGTTCCCATTAACCACCAAGCCTGGACTGCCAGTTGTGTTTTCGCTGGTCTGGAAATGACGAGTTGCCATGAAGGGAACGGGCTTGGGGGGTCTACGATTGTGAAAGAGGCGGAGATGGGTCTCCGTGGCTTCGTGGTGTCGATGAATGTTGGACTCCTCATTTGTTGGTTCAATTCATTCGTCGCTGTTGATGGGGTCCTTCCCTTCATATTGAATCCTGTGATTTAAACAAAAACTTTGTTTTTTTGTGTTTTGCTTTGGACTTCTTAAAGATAGAAAGAAAAACCCATGGACATTCTAGTGGAAATTATGCAGTATTGTGAAGAACTATGCAGTGAGGATTGTGTGTATGCTTAGGAAATTATTAAAGTATTACACTTAAATAATTTTGAAGTAATGTTTGATTGTGGAGAAATCAAAAATACCAAATGTTTTTTAAACGGTTTTCATGATGCAATTTTACAAATAAGAAGAATGATTAGTAAAGCACAAGAAAAATGATGGCTTGCAGTCAAGAGCTGTTTTTCGGGTGCTTTTTATTGTGGCCGTAAAGCTGCAAAAGGAAACTGAATGCAGATGAAAAAAGATAACAAGTATTCCTATAAAATACAAGTGAAAGTATTCAGTTAATTATTTAAAGAAGTATAAATTATTCACAACATATGTGTTACTAATAACTTCTGACGATGAAAGTTCAAAGCATCAATTAGATGAACACAAAAAAATAAATATAAATAAGGCATGCCACATCTCCAAAAAACAACACGTTTTCTGGGAAAAAAATGAAAAATGCATGATCACAGAACAAAAAAATAGAATAAAACGAAGATATTTCAGAAAATATATATCAGGAATAATTATTATTCGACAGACCAATAATAGTAATAATAATAAAAACAACCACATTAAGGATAAAGAAGACACCAATCAGTGCACAACATAGATGAACAGAAGATTATGTGAATAAAACACATCCATCTGTTCGCTGACTTAGCCCACTTTATTCTGTTGGCTTAAAAATAAATACAACTTTACAGAGACAGAAGCAATTCAGCTCTTTATATCATTTGGCAACAAACCCTAATCTTGTTTTAGGCCCATTTTAGAGCTAACTAAGTGCAAAAGAATCTTGGCATTCCTGGCAAAATGACACTTGTCATGCAAAGTTTAGAGATTAGGAGTTAAAAGCCATAAACCAGCATGGCACATTCCTCAATCCACATCACACAGATTTTTCTTATTTGTGGGGTGTTCATGCACCTCATCTAACTCATTTGCTAACTAAATTATTGAATAGTAGGCATCCAGGCTTCATAGCAATAAGCTGTCACTAGGCAAGGGCATGAAATGGGGTTATCACTTCATGTGAGCTATGTTAAGAGGGGTTTTACACACTATGCCAACAATGATTGGGGAACAATGGGAACCTATTAGATGCCCAAGCGGGCACTTCCAAAACATGAATGTTGGGTTGGACAAGAGACTGGGTCCTATCATACTAAAATAGTACGCAAATGGGTTGTGGCACCCTTTGGGTAGCTCCAGAGATGGGTAGCAGTAATTCAAGGAGTTGTGTGTGTGTGTGTGAGTGAGAGAGAGAGTGGGGGGTTAAATTTAAGAGCTTGACCCAGTTCAGCCATATAGATCACTTGGGTGACCTTTGTCCACTTCCATTTCAGTCAGAAAACTCCAAAATGGGAAGGCCTTCTCAAATAATTGAGCTCTTCTCCCCTTAGCATTTGTGTGTTTCTGGGGTCCTGATGATGCGGCATTTCTGGGCATGTGGAGGTGGGTTTGCTGCATGCCATGAGCTTATCACTTGGATGACCAAATGTGAATGTATGCAAAGAAAGATGGGAATATGTACTCAAGACTTTCAAAGGAACTAAAGAATGTTATACATGCAAAGAAAGGGAATGCTTTTCTTTGACAATTGGAGTGACAATGGTTGTAGGAGGAGACCAGCTGACAGAGACTCATGACTTGCCCCTCAGTTGCCATTTTTGGTGGTAATTTTCCACTGCCGAGATGACACTTCAATCATAGAGTCCTATTTCACAATGCTCTAAGATGTACATGTTGACCTAAAAGGGTGAAGGCATCATTCTCTCACACATACATGTATACACATATATGGTATAGAAATATACTATTTTCTCATTGAAAAAAATTAAATGAAAATTAGTGGGCAGCCTTAATAGTTGGAGTTTAATACTAATAACCATGGGAAATGTAACCAGGGTGATCAGTTGCAGTATCCCCAAAGGATTTTGTGACCCTGCATATCATACATACTCAATCAATCAATCAATCAGTTCAGTGCCAATTGCCTTTGCAAGGAAACACCCTTTCTTGTTCACCTGGTTCACACTACCTTCCACTGGTTGCCCTCCTTTTTGTAGTTAAATTTACTCTTGTCAACTTCCCTCAATGTGTGGAATCATTCTTGTCTACTTTGCTGTTTTCATAGACAACAAGTTCAGGGGGGGGCATTTGCCTTCCCTATGTGCAACCAAAATGTGCTCCTACTTCACAGTTATGATCATTAAATTTTATTACATGTTATTATTATTTTGCCAGATATCATGTGCAAAAATTCAGAAAATAAATATATATTCTGCAGCAAGTTTCTGCATCCAGTCTTGGCCACATTTTATTTCACAGCTCTGACAAGTGTGAGAAAAACCAGCACCCACAATGCATGCAGTGTGAGGATGGCAACATTCCAGAACTAAAACCTTTCAGATTAGAGGTATTGTAAAAGAAGAAGAACCCAGTATATTGCAGAGAGGGGGTTGGGGGGGGGGAGAAATGAATAATTTATGGCTATGGAACCATTGGTACTACTCTTCTTCATCATGGGCATTATTGAATGGCTCTGCAAGGTTGTACAACAAGGTTCACAAGGGGAAAAGATACTTCTGTGTATCACTGACACAACTACAAGTGTCTTTATCCCTACAATAGAACTTGAGAAATTATTTAGACCAGCCTATAGAGACATATAGTTTTTAAATTATATGTATATATAGGCTGGTTTAAACAAAGAAGTCTATTTTTATCAGTTACTGAGGTAAATTATTCAAAGTGTATTGAGAGGAAAAGTCAAGGTGATTTTTATTATTTTTATTATTTTTACATGGTATAAATAATGTCATTTCTAAATTTTCCATTGAGTTCTTTGTTGAAGGGTGATTTTATAATATATTGAGATGCCACGTAAAAAAAATGTTTTATATATATATATATATATATGTATATATATATATATATGTATCATTTACACATATATTTTTAATTTTCAAGTGGTAGAGAAAAGATATGTGTTGTAATATATAAAATGGTAATAAAAAATGATTTGTTTTATGTCCTCTTTGTACTATCTTCAAATAAAAAAATTTAAAAGGATAAAACTTTTCTTCACCAAGCAAGGGACCTTCATGGGGGTTTTGGACGGCAACCTTTACAAATGTGCTGCCATGTACAAAGATCTCACTAGAAACAAACAAAAAACAATGCATTGTAGTTGAACTTCATCATATTATGATACATTGTTATTCTTTTATTTTCGTCCAAGTCAATAAATTTCATGAATATACTGGTAGAAGTAAGATACATGGGCGCACATATTCATGGGCATTAATAGATGCCCTGTCTACATGTTCTCTCTTTCTTCCTACGGAGTCCATGGTTCCTTGAACCTGTTGTGAGTAAAGAACAGGCTCATCTTCGAATCTGTAGTTATATCAGCATTAACAACAAGATTATAAGATTTCCCCATGCGAAGGAGGAGTATGAAAGCATATTCAGAAAGATGTACATAAAATAACCTACTTTTGAACGCTTGTCATTTAACTGCTTCGTACAAGCCGTTCCCATGTTCAGACATAATTTCAACACTCACAATTCTGCAGGATTTTTACAATCCATACCCGCAAAATAAAGTAAAAAACAGTAAAACTAAAACATAACAACTATATCTGAAATTATCTGCTAGCCTAGGACATTGCAGTGGAATGACAGATACCACAGCATATTCCCAATGAAACCGTTCCACTCACGCATACGCAAGGTGGGTGCAAAATCGCCACTCAAAACTCACAACTTTGAGAGAGCCAGTCTCGCCGTGCCATCATGACTCTCACAGCCACCATCCCGATTCCTTCGACCGGAATCCTAGTCCTTGCAGTTCGTTAACCCCTAATTACGCCGTCCCATTCATCGCTGCCGAAACGACAAATTCCTCCGACTCAGATAGGCTGCTGCGAGAGCCCAAAGACCCGGTCTCCGCAAAAGCATCTCTTTTTCAGTTCGGTCGTGGTAGATTTGGGAGCGATAGTCCTGCGATCAGCGACGATCTCACCGATCGCAGGCTCTCCTCAACTTCCGGGAGGACCATCGGGGGCCCAGCCTAGCCCGAGTGGGTGGGTGAGAGTGCGGAGCCCTACCTCCTCGCCCAAGGAAGAGCTCGAAGCACTCACGTCGAGCTGAGCCCCAAAGTTTTCAGCAAATCTGCAAATCCAATCACATTAAATCGAAGCCTGTAGCGAACGCGTTCTATTAATGGGAATCAACCAATGTTCCCTATGCAGATTCCTGCAGTACTCTTTGCAACCGACATGGGACCGTGATATGCTCGCATTTGGGAACGATGCCCACTTGTCGGGAACGGTGCGTATCTTACCACGCTTTCGTGGACGTTCTCCATCCGTGCCCCACGAGGGGAACGATTCCTCATAACTCGGCCGACACACGACGGCGACGACGTCGTCGCAGTCTCTGGCTCTTTCTCTCTCTGTGGCTCTTCCTCTGAAGCCATAGACCTCGGAGAATTTCCTCCTTTTGGACTCTCGTTTTCCTTCATTGTAGATGGACCCGAGTATCTTTTCTTCTTTTTCTTTCGTGGAATGATGGTGCATTGGGGAAAAGCATCGGAGGGTGAGCTTCTGACGGGAGCCGCGCAGAGGGGGGAGTGGCTTCCAGCTGAGTCCCCTTCTGTTGCTATGTTTGCTGCTTTGAGTGGTTGGGGTTTTGTCGATTTGGTGGCTTGAGTGTACCGGTGGAATAAGCAAAGGATGTGATGTGATCTTGTTTGTGGAGTTTATCTGTACTCTCCTTTTTTCCTTTTATTTCGGTTGAACTATAGCGTCTGGCATTGCGGATGAAGGGATTTGATGGTGTGAGATTTGGCATAAGAGAATTCCTGCCATTTTGTGACCGAAGGGTTTGAGGTATTTTCCGAATTTTAAAACGATGTCCAGCAGGACTAGTCTTTGTTTGGTTTACTCTCTCTCCTCCTTTCAAACCTTTTCGCTGAATTTCACAACACTAGCACTGATACAACGCATTCATCGTGAACGGCCCGTGAATAAAGCGAGACGATAAAAACAGAATAAAAAACAAACAGAAATAAATAAAAACACGAAAAACACTCAGAAGTAGTTGTGACCGCTTCGGGCTGCAGGCTCTAGGAAGCAATGTACACGTCATTGCACAGAATTTGAATACCGGACAAAAATAAATAATGCTCAATCAAAAAATAGCCTTTCTCTTGGGAATCTCCTCACATTGCAAATAAGGATTTCCATTTCTTCTTTTTATTTGTGTCGGTCATGAAACGCACATTGATCATACGCGTATACACTCAATGCAGATATTGACAACTCTTGGAAACATATTCGATGCAACAAAGCCCATGTTGAGCTTGAAGGAAGGAGGGAATGAGAAGCGACCCACAATCAAGCTGGCGATGGACCCACATGAAAATGGTGGGACATGTTGAAACTCATTATCCCCCCCCCCCCCCCTCCCTCCCTTCAAACGAAAGCTTTTACAAGCAAGCAATGAGGAGGGGTCCCCAAGTGTCCGATACATTCCACTTGGCATGTATATCAATGAATTGGGCAGCATTATTAATCTTATTCTCCAAAAACAAACAAAAAAACAATAACAACTACTTGCCACTTACGAGTGAAAAAAAAATGCCGGTCCAATGAGTTTGTGTGTATTCCTCTTCAGGTTTTATTAGGAGTAAGAATGATTTCTGAGAGAAAAAAGTTAACATTCAATGCAGGTGGAAAATGCTTCAGCAAATTACCCTTGTGGACAATCACCACACAATAGATTGTCCTTTATGTGGTGACATTGAAGTAGAATCCTTTTTGCATATTAAATTCACAATTTTGTTTCAGCAAAGCTTGTGGTGGAGACTATTGTGTGTGACAAGGGCGAGACTTGCTGTTGACGGGGGTTGGAATCAAAAGCCGACATGGGTTGAGAAGCTATTAATTTAATACTGCATCTCATTTGCTACTTGGTTTTGAAACAAACTTCTTCACTTTCTTCAATTCGGTTCAATAACTGGGCATATTGAAGAATTTTGAACTGACCCAAAATATCGATTTGAATGAAAGTGATTCAAATACATTCATTTTCCAGGGTTTGAGACTGGGCAGTTTCTCCTCGCCCATTGAAAACGAGGTCAATGGGAAGTAAAGAAGGGCCAAAGGTTCGGAAGGGTTTCCTATCCCGATTCCTTTTTTCTTCCCTGATCGTCCTTTTCACCTTTACAGAGATACTTAAGTGTGAGTGTTTGTCTTCATGTTCTTTATTTTGCATTATTTTGCTGATGCTCGAAAACCTGGTCCAAGTGGCTTGATGGCTGTCTGACTGGGCGGCTTAATTTTCCTCGCTTTTTCCTCCAATGTGGTGCAAAGTTAACGATCGCAAAGGCTGACCAGACCAGACCAGACCAGACCATGCCAGCGTTCAGTCAGGACACGGCAACCGAGATAAAGAGACAGAGAGACTGTAGGTGGTGCGGCACTTATCATCCAACGACGTGCATGGGAAAAACAAATATTAGAAAACAAATAAAATAGATTAAACGAAATCATCCATCGTGGACTGCGCATGGGCGGTGCGGTACATCCATTCTGTGTGCATTGGAAGTAAATCCACAAGGGGAAAAAAAAAAAAAGAAAAAAAAAAAAAAAGATAAAAGAAACATCAAACACAGCTGGAGTCAAGTTTCATTATCATGGGGGTGCAGCATGTTCGGAGAGGAAGCGAATCCACGTGGGGTTCAGTTTGTGTCACATTCTTACTATTACCCAAAATTGTATATTATTAACACTGATTGTCTCCAATTATCTTTACACGCGTTTTCGCGTCTGAACGTTAAAAACAACACAGGCCACGCTTGCACAGATGCACACAGAGAAGAAGCAGCAGAAGAAGATGAAGATGCTTGGGTGAGAATAATTTTGCAGGCAGAATGCAGTGATTGGAACGAAAAGACTGAGTAATCCACATCCACATTAATTTCTAAAAACCAGAAAAGAAGGAGAATGGCAAGAAAACTAGAGGAAGAAGAAAAGATAACAGAAGCAGTTGATTAGTAGCCACAGTTAGGAGAGCAGTCAGAAAACTGCCGACCCTCCCTTGGCCAACATTCACCCATTGCAGCTTACGTGGAAAAAGTCACAGAAATGAAATACACCTGGAGGAAAAAAATTAAGGTGAAGGCAAATGGAAAAACACAAAAGGTGGGTGGGGCCCCTAGCTGTAACGAGATGCAGAGGGAGAGAGAGAGAGAGAGAGAGAGAGAGAGAGAGGAGGCCGAGACGTGGAGGAATGCTGAGTGAGCGAGCGAGGCAATCGTCTCTGCCTCATAAGGCCATGCCCTGCGCAACCAGATTTGACTCCGGGTTTCCAACTTCTCCCCTTCCTGTTGCGCTCCTCTCATCGCATCGCATCGCCCTGCATCTACCGCCTCGGAACCCATACCCGCCTCATCTCACCATCACGCCGCCATCTCTCGTTCGTCGCTCACGCTGCTAGCTCAATCGCATTCTCGTGATTTGAGGCGTGGAGACGGGTCGTTGCAGTGGTGGCTCTGTGTGTAGATCTGGGGTTTGGAACCATTTGAAGCCGGGGAGGATTTTGATCCGGGTGGGGGGTGTTGGGTTGCTGAGCGATTCTGTGCGCTGATAATAGGATTTTGTGGGAGTTGGGTTCGGTCGTGAGCTTACGAATTTTCGGGAAGGATTCGGGAAATTGGGGGTGGTTTCTCGAGCTGTTAGTGACATTGCATTTGCGGATTTGGGAGAGTGTGTGTTTGTGAAGTGTTAGTTTTTGCGGGTGGTCGCGGAGGAGGTGTCCGGATTAAATTCCGGTTGGGCTTTTTATTGTTTTTGGGTCGTTCTTTCCTTCCCAGCACCATGAAGGCATTGATTTTGGTCGGTGGATTCGGAACCAGACTGAGGCCGCTCACTTTGAGTGTGCCCAAGCCCCTGGTGGATTTCGCCAACAAGCCTATGATTCTGCACCAGGTGACAATTCGTTGCTGTTGTGGCATTGTGTGAGAGTCTCGAGATGCGTGCAGTCAACTTGGATTACAAAGTGTATGGGCCCAATTTGGATCCACACGGAAGATGCATTCTGTTAGAGATAACACATTTAACAATGGGAGGGTACTAGTTACTTGTATCTCATTTCGTAGTCCCTGACATTGGGTATCATTGCTGCGATCATTGCCGTATGTGGTATTGAAACTCCACAGGAGAGGATGTTGGTGTGTTGTGGATCTATGATAGCAGCTGTTGTGTTTTTAAAGGCATTTGTTACACCTTTGTATGTTCGTCTTGAGACATGTGTACACGATATGTTGTCCTTTTGCCTGAAGAGTGATCTGCATGAACTTCTTCTGAGGCTGTTTTCTGCTTAGCGTAGTGATAAATTATTTCTGTTCTCGTTGGGAGGAGTGGAGAGCTCTGCTTTTACAACTCTGAATCGCCTGTAACGGAGAATCTGTCGTCTCTGTTAAAGCGCCTGTTTTACATAGCAGTTGCTTTGTGATCTGTGTACTGATATATCGCTACAATTCCTGGTGCAGATTGAAGCGTTGAAAGCAGTCGGTGTGGATGAAGTCGTCTTGGCTATCAACTATCAGCCTGAGGTATTTATTAAATAGATTGATTTTCATATCTATGTTTGCAGAATAGTGCTTTCTGCGATGTTGTTGTACGTTGTGGTGAGTTCTAGTGCATACAGAAGAAGGATGAGTTCGCGTGCATTGTGTGTGCTGCCTCTTCCTCTGCATTGTACAATCATTTAGATGTAGGGAATGTGAAACCATTTGTGTTAGCGCGCGATCAGTGTTGAGTATAGCTATTTCATGTGCGGCGCTCAACAGTATTGCACTAGAAGTGCAGAATAGCATGTTTGATTGACACTCTTATATGCTCGGTTGATGTCGAGTTTTAAGGAAAAAAAAAAAAAAAAAAAAAAAAATCTATGCTTTTTCGATTCCCTTTGCTGGAGTCAAGTAACTCAGTTGCGCTTTCATTGCAACAGGTGATGATGAATTTTCTGAGAGACTTTGAGAAGAGCCTTGGCATCAAAATTACCTGCTCTCAGGAGACCGAGCCCATGGGCACAGCAGGTCCTCTCGCCCTAGCGAGAAACAAGCTTGACGATGGTTCTGGTGAGGCATTCTTCGTGTTGAATTCTGATGTTATCAGCGAGTACCCTCTAAGGCAAATGGTAGAATTCCATAAGAAGCACGGTGGCGAGGCTACCATAATGGTCACTAAGGTACTCCTCAATCCGCGACTTGATGTTTGTACTTGTCATTCTGCATTTGTGCACTACTGAGGAAATACGTTGCAGAACATAATGAAGACACGGTGGTTATCGCTTGACGCGTTTTAAATGTCTTGACTGACTGTCACATGAGTACTTGTCGATTCCTCTTGGTGTCTTGAGAACTGATGCATCTAATAATATCTTCGATTTTAAATGAAATTTTCTTGTCGATTACCTCCTGGTGATACATGTTGCAGTTTTGTCAATTACTCACTTTCTTGACGATGCATTTTTCTTTCAGGTCGATGAACCTTCCAAGTACGGAGTGGTGGTCATGGACGAATCGAACGGTTGCGTGCAAAGGTTTGTGGAAAAGCCGCAGCAGTTTGTGGGCAACAAGATCAATGCAGGAATCTATCTCCTTAGCCCAAAAACTTTGAACAGGATTGAGCTCCGGCCTACATCCATCGAGAAGGAAGTGTTCCCCAAAATTGCAGCAGAGAAGAATTTGTTCGCTATGGTCTTGCCAGGCTTCTGGATGGACATCGGTCAACCCAGGGACTACAACACCGGTCTTCGATTGTACCTCGAGTCTTTGCGGAAGAAGGATCCAGAGAGGCTGGCATCAGGATCCACATTCTTGGGCAATGTGATCGTTGACGAGAGCGCTAAAATCGGAGATGGATGCCTGATTGGACCGGACGTCTCCATTGGACAGGGATGCACAATCGAAGCAGGCGTGCGTCTCTCCCGCTGCACAATCATGCGGGGCGTTCGAGTGAAGAAGCACGCTTGCATTTCTGGGAGTATAATTGGATGGCATTGTACTATTGGACAATGGGCAAGGATTGAGAACATGACTGTGTTGGGCGAAGATGTCCGCGTCTCAGACGAGATCTTCAGTAACGGAGGAGTAGTGCTACCGCACAAGGAGATCAAAACTTCCATCCTGAAACCTGAGATTGTCATGTGATTGAGCCTCTCATTTTAGAAATCTTATCCATACAAACTGATAGATCTCCATCTTTCTCTATATCAGGAGCTTAGATGCTTTCAAGCTGCTAACAGTGGACGTCGTTCTCATCAGAAATGAGATTGAAACAGTCTACCACAGCGCTTGGGAGGATCGGAATCAATTCCCTGTCCTGTGTGATTTACGGTCTATTTTTTGTCATATTCGAACAGGTAACATGCACCTTGTAGAGAAGTCGACCCACAGAGACTGGCATAGCTTAGAATTCTCGTAGAGTTAGATTAGGAGGTTGAATGATGTTTCAGAAATTAGAAGGGACGGTGCTGATGTCGGTTGCGGTTTCAACGTGCGCTGTGCTCACCGAGGGAAGCGATGGGTGAGGAAGGGGCTGATTGGCTTGGCAGTGGTATATGCCAAGTTGAAGGTCTGAATAAGTAGCCGGAAGACGTGAGCAGATGCAGATAGAGAGACAGACAGACAGACGAATGACTACATACGCGAGGATAACATGACCTTGATGATTTTTATGAAGCCTGTTGCTTCCAGGTAAACTCAAGCAGCCGTTTGAGTTTGTAATAACAGGTGTTTACTTGAATAGAAGTTCTTACGCCTTTGTGAATGGATCACCAGTCTGTCAGTTTCTCGACCTTTCGTGTTGTTCTTGTTGTTTTCAGTTTCAATGAGCCACCTCGGCAATTGCGGGTAGGCAGGCAAAGCCATTATCTACGCTCTTGCCTTCCAAGTTGAAAGGCTGTTCACTTTTTCATACCTTTAACTGATCGAGGTTTCCATACATTGGATATTCTAGATTAAGGCCTTTTTTTTTCAGTGCTAGTCTGCAACTGTAGGCGGTTTCAAAGAGTTCTGCTGTACAAAAGTCTGTGCGGAAGATTTTTATTGGCAATAGACTGTTGACATTCATTACTCAGACTCATCAGTTACGGTGTTAGGTGGGTGAGGGTTTACGAAACCTGTGTGCTGTACAGATTCCACAGCAATTGCACAACTTCCACAAAGGAGAAAAATAATGCAGATCGCACATTCTTGAGGGAACTGATCGTCAATTACAGAAATAATTCTATTCTGTGTTTGACTTTTATGCAGTTCAAAAGCATGATACTTTGATGTACACCTCAATATGCCCAACTACTCAACTTTACACTCATATCAGCATCAACTATATTGAAATTAGGAGATGTATGTATAATTGAAAGGTTGGTAGTTAGCAAGTTTTCATTTGCTAAGCTTTGTTGGATACTTGAAACATGCGTTTCAATTATTTTAGAAGCCTAATTTTAATTTCAGTGCTATTAAAGGATGAAATTGACTTTTGATTTGAGTTTTGATTTGAGGTACTGATTATTTTACATCATAGAATTGTTTTTGATGTACTGTAAAGCAGCAGACCATTTATTTTCTTCAGTCTACTTGTGTTTTCAATATGTCCTCATGAATTATTTCATCAACAGAAAACAGTCATAGAAAGGTTGCAATCAACCACCGATATTCACCGGCTTTTACATGGAGAGAAAACTGGTGTTCTACAAGCACAGTGAGGGTTTTTGTTTTATTTTAGTTTTATTTTTAGTACGTGTCATATGTCCAACTAATATCAACTCTATGAAATTGATGTTTGTAATTCCAACTAAAAAAAGAAAAGAAATTATGGTATGTATAAATTTTAATTTATATGTTTCTATTTCAAACCATAGACATTTACATGTCAATTCATTAAATATGAATACATTAAGTTGGATTAGAAATCAACACATAGAAATATAAATACAATAAAATGTCTAATATTGTCTACCAAAATATATTGTTGTAGAATATTTGTCTACCATGGAATATTGGATAGTTGTGGACTATGTCAAAGCTTTAGAGATGCTAGCAATTTAAGCTCTTGAGCTATTGCTATCTAAGGCTTTTGTTGTCCACCCTCTGGCTGTGCCTCTCAATATTCCAGGTGTAGAATTGTTGCATAGAAATATAAGTTCAAATTTTTGGAAGCAAAGAATTGGAAGAACATTTTTTTTTTTTTTTTTTTTTTTTTTTTTTTTCCTTCTTCATCAAGTAACCATATTGTCCATGGCAATGTAAAAGACAATATTACCTTACACATCAATGTTGTATATAAAGCAAGTTAGAGGTGGAACAAGGAGTACAACAATTGGCTCTTCATGCAACTATACTACAACAACAATAATTAATATTCACCTCTCTATATAGGTATTTATTATATTATGTTATATCTTTTATATTTTTATTTTATATGTTATTTTTTTTTAATATTTTTTTTTATTTAAAATTTTTAGTAGATGATATTGAAAAAAAACTTTTAAGTCATAATATATAATATCAGTAAGGTTGCATACAAAAAGAATATGGAGTAAGATAACTCTCACTTCCATTACTAGTTATTTATAGGTGGTGGTTACTATCCTAATAGATATCTTCCATCATTTGATGAATACATTCATCTAACAATCTACTGAGACTATCTATTGATATCTTATCTACAATGAGGATATGCCTTTAATATATCCTATATATCCTTAAAATCTTTTACTTGTTCATCTACCTTGTCTCTTGGTCTTTTTATATATCAAGAGCCAACCTTTTGACTATTAAGAACTTATCTAAGATAATATCTTCTATAAAGTAATTTATTTTATTTTTACTTTTACTTACTTATTTTAATACTTCCATTTTTCTATTAATTAAAAGTTTTCAATGATAATGTCTTTATCAACATGTGATGTCTATCCTTGACTAGTGTCTTTATCAATAAATCAACATGTCTTCTATTGCTCAATACTTCATGTCAATCACTCTCATTTCAATCTTCTCTCTTATAAAGTGATGTTGAATGTCAATATGCTTCGTCCTTGAATGATGCTTTGGATTCTTTACAAATATCCTTGGTGATTGCTTGAACCCATATAAAGATTTCTACAACTTACAAATAAGCTTCTTCTCTCTTGAAGCTTTTCTCTTTACATTCAAAGGTTAATACTCTTTATTATCATCATTTTCAATATCTTGATTGTATTCATTGCTGGTTCTAAAAATTATAAATACACTTTAATCTATCTTCTTTGGATCTTCCTTTTAATTTTTATTTCTACCATCTTCATTGTCATCTTCTTCTTTTTCTTCTTGTTTTGTTGAAATCAAAGATATATCCACAAATACACCATTACTTCTATTTGGATATATTTCCTACTACTCACAAGCATTCTTATGCTTTAAAAATTCTACATCATAACTCTTGATGATCTTTTTGATGTCTTAACATATTAATCTATATACCTTGATATCTTTATAATATCCAACAAATACAAATTTTGTATCTTTTACATCAAGTTTAAACCTCATACAATTTGGTATCTTTCTTTAAGTAATGCATCTAAAAATCTTCATGTATAAAACACAAGGTTTCTTGCTACTCTAAGATTCTTGTGGAATCATTGATATGAGTGCATTTATAAGGCACCCATTTTTGTACACATTGCAATTACTATAGTTTTTACTTAATACTCATGCTTAAGATTTTGTACATGAAGCATATTTCTTGTAATTTCCACAATAGTATTGTTTATTTTTTTTTACCAATTTTATTTTGTTGCACAGTATGAAAAGTAGATTTTTGTCTTACAATATTTTGAATTTTCAAAAATCCATCAAAATGATTTGATATATGCTCACTTCTATTATTCATATATAATACTTTAATTTTGCACTCACATTACTTTTCTATAAGTGCCTTAAATTCTTTAAATCTTAAAAAATACTAATTTTTTGCTTTAAAGATGTAAATCCACACCTTTTTTGAAAAATCATCAATAAATATTACAAAGTGCCTTAATCTTCTAATTGATGATGTTTTCATTGGTCTATAAATATCAGAATATATAATCTATAATAATTTGTTAGCATATATTATGATTCCACTTAAAAATAAAGCTCTTTTTTTATTTGCTTTATATACAACCTTTATAAGTAAGTATCATGGTATTGTGGCTTAAGTGACCAAGATCCAAGCTACTTATCATAAATTAAAATTCTTTCATTTTTTTAACATTCAAATAATTAAGTCATTAATGCAAAATTTCAAACTTATCTTGATCTTGTAAAAATTCAATAAATGCCACAACTTCAATTCTATTCATCTTCTTACAATTAATGAAATAGAAGTTGCTATTTTAAAATTCTTTAGCAACATCTTGTCTATCCAATGTCTTCATAAAATCCCCATTTATGTCAAATTAAACCTTATAACCATGTGATATAAATTTAGTCACCAAAAAGTTTTTTTTTTTTTTTTTTTTTTTTTTTTATTTTAAATCTTTGGTATGTATAACACTTCTTTCAATCTCATCCTCTTTATTTGGTCCTTTACAACAATCTCTACTACATTGGAGCCAATTCCAATGGCTTATACTATGCCATTGTCTCTCAACCAAACTTTTATTGGTGAAATTACTTCAAAAGTGTTAAATATAGAGTTGTATGATATCATGTATTTAGTAGTATCCAAATTTATAATCCACTCTAACATGGTAGCCATAGAGGCTTGTTCACTTGCCATAAAAATATAGTCATCTCTACCAAAGTTATCATGTACATTATTTATATTTTTCATATTTATTTTCTTAGCTTTATAGTATTTTTTTACAAAATGATATGCTTTTCTATAAATATAGCAATTTTTTAAATTACTTTTAAAATTATTGCATTGATAAAAATAACTACCTTTTTTTTATCTTAAAATAGAACCAAATCATTAATTTAAAGCTTTTTTTCTTTCTTCTTGGTCACGTCATAGATTAGTCTTGACATTTCATAATTCATGGTAAATTCTTTCATATTGATAGACTCTAATGCCATAATGAAGTAGTTATAGGACTTCAAAAGGCTAGTAAAAAATATTAATACAATGTTTTTATTATCAATTGATATGTCAATTACTGCTAATTGGTTTATAAGTGCTTTTTATCTTATTGACATGAGCCATGAAGTTATCTCCTTCTTCTATCTTTATTGTTAAAAACTTCTTTTTTATCTATAGAATGTTAGAAAAGTTTCTATTCTTATAGATGTTGCAAAGAGTCTTCTATGCTTTCATTTGTCTATTGCAAATAATTATATATGAAAAAATTTCCTCATCAAGATTTTTTACAATCAATTAAAAAGTATTTTTTAGAAGATGCTTGTATTCCTTCTTCATCTTTACATGAGCATTATTGCTCAAAGGCTCTTAATTTTCAACAATGTATCAAAAGTCCAATGAAGCAAATAAAGTTTTATTTTTTTCTTTCAATGGTAGAAGTTGTCACCTCTAAACTTCTCAATTACTTTCAAGCCTTCAACTTTACTTGAAGCCATATCTAATGAAGAGGTGTATTAAAGAAAAAAAATAAAAATAGAAGATAGACCTTTCAAAATCAATAATAAGGTATTATTGCCTTAAAAACCTAAAATGCCCTCTTTGTGAGTAAATTAATAATTTCACTCTTTAATTACTCTCAACTTCACTTATATGACTTTTTATAAGTCTTAAATTCTATTTAAATCTCTTATGTAAGTTTTTTTACTTATTAATCACCTTTAATCTTGCAAAACA